CCGATGACATAGTCGATCGAATCGCTAGCCTTGAGATCCAACATACCCCAGTGATTGAGGAAGCCAAGAGCAGAGTTGTACATGCTCTTCAATTTGAACCCCTTGGGAGCTTGGCCTTTCAGAAAACGAATGTAGATAGTGAGACGCTGGGTGTATACGTGAAAAGTGAACTCTACACGAGGTTGTAGGTTGGTGGTACTGCGAAGCATCTTCAGCCAATTTTCGTTGGTGTTGGCGAGGAAGGCATCCAGTGCGTCGAGATACCCATAACTCCACCTCATTTGCCAAAGCACTTCACCCCAAGTGTCCTCGTGATCGCAGTCCATGTCGCATCCACAATGGATGCTGTGTCCGCATTCGAAGCACTCTACGTTGGGCACATCGTCTTCGAGTACCTGACGGGAGGCGAAGTTGACAGTAAAGGTTGGGCAGTGTGCGCGTAGGCGGGCCAGGAGGGTGATGTTTGTCAGGACGTCCTCCATAGACTCTTCGTCCCCACCGTAACCTTCCTCAAGTTCATCGCCAAGCTGACCGTGGTCCCAGGATATTAGCAGAAGCTTTGGAGCGTGCTGGTAATCTGCGACCTTGGGGTAGTATGCGTTGATGAAATGAGCGAGTGTTGGGAGTTCCACGCAGAAGCGAGATTGACGAAGCCACATAGGCCGATACTCCGTCCGAATCTGCTTGCAGACTTGAGTGAGCGCACGGTAACGCAGCGTGCTCAGTAGATGCGGCACGGTAGTGCTGTCACTTGCGACCTTAGAACGCTTGAGCAGAAGCGGTCGTATTAGATCATCGTCGTCATCATATACCCCTTCTTCGGCGAAGTGGTATATGCGATTGCGGATTTCTGCGAATAGTCAGCCAACCAAAGCGCTATATAGGCAAAAGAGGGACATACCAGCAGGCAGCTCGAGGAATTGGCAGCAATTGAGCATGGGCTCGAACTTGGTCTTATCGCCAAACGTCTTGCCACCCGAATTACTGCTGTTGCCCTTCTTGGCGTCGCTTGTCTGGAAGTTCTGGCCTTTGCCTCTGTATATCGGTCAGCTAAGGTGTAGGGCGATATGTGAAGGTACATACGCGTCGGAAGGCATCTCCACTGTTGAACCTGAAAAAACCTGTAGAGAGCGGAGCGCAGTCTTCAGGTAGGTGTCAAGCGGGGTTGGGTAAACAACGAGAACAGGCAGCGAAATGCGCATTTGTTAGTCGCGGAAAGAGCGCACGAGCGTGACGCGATTTCCCGTGACCGATGACGCACTATGCCTACACCGTCTCGTGGGCGCAGACCTCTCGGAAGACCCCGCTCTTCTTCTTTCAGAAACGGATTCGATTCTAGAGGTGCCCTTTAAACTCTAGGCACTCAGGCGGAATCCTTAGTCCTCCCCTCCCATCTTGCTGCGTCCTACTCGTCTGCCAGTCTTAATTCCAGTAGGCAAAAGGCCATTATCCGCGTAGGCTCGACGAAGAGGTCCTTGCTCCCTAAAGTTATGAACGAAGAGATTAGTACCCCTGGGTGAATCGTACTAACGCTGCATAGACACCAGCATGCGAGAACCACGGCGTGGGGGCAGTGACTGACAGTGTTGCGTGTTTTCACCTCAAGCGGTTCTACATTCAAGACCATGCCCGGCGTCGTGGTGTGCAGCGACGACGCGTGCAAACAATAGGCGCCAGTGACTGCCTCGTCAGGCGTGGCAGTTTGCTTCCACCCCATACGACAAACAGTCACATCGCTGTCTCACAACACATCCTTTTCTCTTATAAACTCCCCACGAGTCTCCAAATATCCCACGGCGACTGACAATCCTGTCACTGAAAAGTGAACGCGGCGGTATGGCTTTGATCTCGACCTGCTCTTATTGGTCGGCTTGGCAGGTGAAGGCGACCACATACCGTGGGTGACAATAGAACAGACAATGGGCCGTCCATACCAGCCACCCGCATTGTTTCTCCTTCACCAGGTAGTCCTACTCCCTTATGGCGAAAAATCTTTTTCAAGCTCTGCTGCAAATTTACCACCGACCTCACTTCCCAATTACTCCAAACACCGACCTCCAGTCCAAAAGATTGCGATCAGCTGCGAGCCGGAAACTTCAGTCTGACAACCACGAAACTGCACGCATTAGCAAGGCATCTCAAGATGTTTGCGCAAGAGTATATCCCTTTTGCGACAGACACAGCACCGTCTACGGACGAGCGCGGTATCCCACAACCCTCCCATCTCACGCGCAAAGCATCATCCGCCAGCAGTGCGTTCTTGCGAGAGCTTCTTGGCCCGGAGATGGCTCTCTCGATCATGCCTCCCGGCTGCCGCACCATCGCCTTCTCGCAGTGGGGTGGCTTCACTGCAGCGCCCGAGCAGGTCACACCGACCGGAGAGCTCAAGGCCTCAGACCTGTACATGGATCGCGGCATGACATCCACCTTCAACCCTCCGACGTCCGAATGGTGTTATCTGGGAGTGAACCAGCCAAAGCCAGACCCCAGATACAACGCGCAGCCCATTCCAGATCTTCGCAAGCGCAAGCGGAACTCATCGACCAGCATCGCGACTGTGAGCGAGCAAGGCGATCAGGGTGCCAGACCCAAGGTAAGGAAATCACTGTACAAACTGCGTGTGAGACAAACGCTGACTTCGTATCTTCGTAGCCAACGACTTCGCCCGTCCGCTTTACTAGGCAGACACTGAAGCGAGTGAACACCAACTCCGAGCTCACAAGGTCGTTCGAGATGGTGTCCATCAAGGAAGAGAAGAAACCCACGTTGGCCGAAAAGTTCGCGTTCGAGGGACTGAACTGTGAGGATCTTCCGTCAGCATTCGACTCCGACGACGAAGAAGAAGACTACGACATCCGACATGCTCGCTGATGGAAGCATGAGAGCCCCTGAGTATCACTGCCTGCTTCGCGATCAAGGACGGTCGCATAAAAGCATCCATGAAACAAAAGCTTATGAGCGCATCGCATGGGAGTTGATTCCGTTGCAACGCTGGTTACATTGTTCACTGAAGCGGCATATGGCTTGGAGGATGCGATGACAAAAGGAGTGCAGGATGAGGCACAATGGATAAAGATGTCCCGCTTGCCGGCTGGTCCGAGCTCTCTTTGGATTCGATGACAGCATCGATCATCAGCTCTAGCATAACTTTTGGCCTGTACATATACACCCGCCACAACAATCAATTGCATATCACAACCATGGAACGAAGTCTACTGCAGTGCACCCGTGCATTCTCAAGATGTACGATGCAAGCCTCATGTCGTAATCTACCCAAATGCAGACCCTCGGCGATCGCGTCCGCACAACAGGCACGCTGCCTACACACGACGCGCCCCGCCCTCCTCCAATCCAAACCTCCAAGAACGCGCGATCGCGGCCCAAAGAGCGACGAAGACACGCAGACTGACTTCAGTGCTCTCGATGTCCTCCGGAACACCGTCGCTCCCGCCACATCCATCGACGCGTGCACAGGCGATGGCTTCGCGCTCAACAACCAGATGCGCATTAGCGGATGCGGCATTCTCTTGATAGGCGGAGAAGCATATCGATGGAAGCCCTGGCTACGCGAGGGTAGGAAAGAGGGCACCGTCGCTGAAGGAGGCACGGGCGATGATGCAATGACAGGCAAATTGCTGAACGCGAAGAGGCAATGGGAGGTGCCGGAGCAGGCCTGGGGAGTGTTGGAGTTATTATATCCGAAGCCTGGTACGTTTGTAATCGCCTGCAACGAATGCGTGACGAACGTGGTCTGACAGCGAGCGACAGATCTACTCATCATTGGCACCGGCCCCAGTACCGTGCCTCTCGCACCTGCGGTTCGCAAATACCTAAACGACCAGGGAATACGATTAGAAGTCCAAGACACAAGGAATGCGGCGGCGCAATTCAACCTACTTGCGACAGAGAGGGGTGTAGGACAGGTTGCGGCGGCGCTCATACCCATCGGCTGGAGAGAAGGACGATGATGGTCGAACTAGCAGCGGGCCTACCACTGTCCCGTTGGTTTCCCCAAACGGTCACGCTGTGATGGTTCATTGACGCCTTGGAAGACCTAGGAGCTGGCCTAGACGATCCGGCTGTGAACGACTCCAGGTCGATGGTCCACCCAAACCATGGAGGGTAGTCTTGTTTCCAGGCAAGCTATAATAGGGCCAGCGACACGTCACAGTACGAAGATATGAGCGCGTAAGTCAACGATTTTATGAGACATGCCCGCGAAGTTGAGCACACTCATTGTACTATTTGTATACATACATTCCATTGTTCTCAGATGATCCTGGAACCGACCTGTACATATAAGTCCTTCGTGTCTCACCTTTACCTCTCTCTTTGTCGTACTTTTCATGAATTCCCCAACTCGTTCCTCGCGCTGCTTGCTTGTTCTGACCCCACCAGTTCTATTTGCCAGTCCGGCCGTCGAGCAAACAAACACTGTCACAATCACAGCCGCGACTCCCTGCCCCAGACCGCTCCTTCCGACTTGCGCCTTCTTGACCCACCACGTGGCCCGGCGATATCGCATAACTAGCAAGCCAATGTCGCTTAAATACGTGACCTGCGCACTATCGACCTTTCTTTCCACTCTCCTCAGTCTAATCACTCGAAGCTGTGAACTAATGTCTGACGCTGATATGCACGGAATAAGGTGGGGCTTTGGTAGGCGCGTGGTAACTCCTGATGAGGAAGCAGCCATAGGTGACACTACGCCGCTACTCGGTTCGGAACGCTCTTACCGCAGCGAAGAGGCTGGAGGCGACTTTCCACCAACCATGGATGGCAATGATGCTTCCGCCGCCACGTCTTCAGCAACACCACGTCCGGTGACTCCCTTTGTCGCCGAACTACCGATTATTCATAGCCCATCGTTACCGGCAGTCATACACAGCTCAGGCCCTAGGCTGTCCGTCCTCCAGTCGTTCAGGCTTAGCAAGTTATACCGCAATCGGTTCCTATCGCCTACAGAACTGTCCTGCCATACCGACCACTCCACAGCACAGATGGAGTCGCAAATTCAAAATGACGACAAGAGCCTAATAATCGAAATACTGTCACCCGTTCTCGACCACCTGAAGGAACTGAAGGCGTTGACACCCGAGAGTCTACAGGACCACAATCAGACCCTCAACAACGAGACGCACGCTCAGGTTCTTAAGCAGAAGCTGCTACCGATAGGTCAGCTTATCGTGGACAGCCTCGAAACAGTCCCACTGGACCACCGGGGTTGGTTGGAGGGAGCTATATGCCATCACATCGCCGACAATTACTGGCCGCTGCCTGTCAACTTCTTCACCCATCTGAAGATCCAGGAGAAATACCGCAATGCGCTCTTCAGGTTGGCGCAGCGCACACCTGCCGGAGCCATCGAGCCGCATCCCAACAAGGACTCTCAGCAGCCTCAAGCACCAGCTATCGAGCCTGATCCGCCCCAACCATCGCTGGACCCGAGGGATAATCCGGACACGCCACCATTCCCCAAATCGACCGCTGAGCAACCTCAAGCATCAGCTATCGAGCAAGATCCGCCCCACCCGTCGCTGGAACCGAGGGATGATTCGGATACCACTGCACCATTTCCCGGATTGTCCATTCAGCAGCTACAATCATCAGTCGTTCAGGCCGCTCCGGGCTCTGGGGACTTTCTAGATCTAAACTTTTACGAGTTGAGAGCAGAGGCTATTGAAGAGGCCGATGCGAGGGACTTGGACAACGTATAGTACCCAATGGTCAAGTACCACCTTCTGCCTAGTCTTCCAAGGCTGGACCGAAAGATCCGGAAATGTCAAATGCCCATGTCACTCTTCAATCCTCAATGTACGGGCTATTGGGACGCTTCTTTCGAGATCAACAACAACCAAGTTCAATGGAAGGTAGTGATACCTCATGTACGCATCGTATGTGAAACATTTACTGACTTTGTACATTCATCCTTAGGCTAAGCCTGATCCTAACACCATCCTTTACAACTACATGCTGCCCCCCGATCATATGACCAAATGTGTCATACCATTATTTGCGACACGCGGCCTGCTGGCAGATCTTGAGCTCGGCGTGGCCACGAAGATGAGCCACGAGTATCAAGACTCTAGGCAAAACCTGAGTGCAATGCTCGATTATGACATGCGTTGTTGCATCCTCTTTCTGACTCGCAAACGGCCCGATCTCCAACCATTCGAAGTACTGTGGTGCGCTGTAAGTGGGGTTTTGAAGTTGCACAAACCCTCGTTCGACAGATACGTTCAGGCACCTACAAAGATTCGCCAAAGGGTCAGACGAGACGGAATAGCAGCGTTTCAGAGAATGATAAAAGCCCCAGATTTCGACCACGTTGACCAATACCTTTGGAACGCGATGAGGGTGCTTGAGATCTATACTAGACCTCTGGTTACAAAAGAAAGTGTATTCCTCTGGATCGATTCCTTTCGTCTTGAGAACATCGACGTCATCTACGATTTACGCCTAGATGGCGCGAAAGCTCGAAAGAAATTGTTCGATTACCTCGAAGAGAGGCATCCTGGTGGCGAATCCATATGGCACAGCCTCGTGCAGAACTTCCACAGCCATGATGTAGTCAAATTTCCAGAGTACGCTACTCGACCACGCTCAATCGAAACCATTACTACCTGGGTATATTTCTTCACAGAAGCTCGACAGGGTGTTCTACTGAAGGGAATGGACTTCGACGCATTAGTCCTCGATGAAGCTGTAGCAGCTGTAGCAGCGGAGCAAAAGAAACCGAAAAAGAAGAACAAGCCGAGGAAACGTAAAGGTGCCAAATCGGGGGAGCTGCCTGATGAGAAGGAGCTGCCAGTTGCTCAAGAGAAGTGCACATCTCAAGACCTTCCTGTGTCTCTTGAACAACCTCCACAGAGGGACGACACGACACCGCAAGAGGAGTCTGTAACTCAAGAACAACACACATCCCCAGAGCAAGCTCTACCCCAGGAAGAGCCCCAAACCAAAAAGCAGCGCTTATCTCGAGAGCTATCGACTACGCCTACACCTTGTGGACCTACACCCTTTTCAACGCTGGAAGAGAAGGAGAAGAGCGAGCAGAAGCAGTCAACAGAGCAGTTAAAGAAGCAAAGAAAGAAGCAATCGAGATGGGAGAAGAAACATGGCAAGGCAGGAAAATCCGACGCTAACAAGCAAGCAGCCTCAATCACGGTGGAGGAGTCTTCGCCATCCGTTGTCGCGAAGGCCGATGACGGTGGTGACAGTGTTACTGGAAACGCCAACAAGGATAACGACGGTGTTATTGGCAGCAGTGTTATCAACGACGGTGGTGACCTTGGTGGCCACTTGTCTGCGGCTGATTCGGTTCCTAGCGATGAAGCGCCTACCAATCAAGAGACGGTTCAAGAGCATCCAAGCAACAGGTACGAAGTTTTGATGGCCAAGCCGTCGAAACACGCTGGGAAGTCCGCCGGAAAGCTAGCGTTCCATGCCGATAGTGAAGATGACATGAAGAAGGCCATGGAGGAGAGTCTTCTGAACGACCCGGGTAGTTGGTCAAAGGTGCAAGGGCGCGCGAAAGTGCGACCAAAGCAGAAGCAGAAACAGCGCACCGACGATCGCAAGAGTATCCAAGATGCGTACAGAGAGAGAGGCTATGCAACTGCTGTTACCGATGCACAGTTGGACAGGGCAAGAGCTGAAGTGAAATCGAGAGAGGTACGGGCGGACTATCTCAGATCTAAAATAACGAGCTTGTCTGCTCTAATACCAGGTGAGGGCAGCACTGGATCAATCAAAGAACACAACAGTACCGCTCGCGGGCAGCCTACTTCCTGGTCAGCGCTTTTTAAGCCTACGGAGAATGACACAGGGCGCAGTTCCCCTCGAGACGCGACTCCGTCTACGAATGCTGTAGAAACGCAACCGCGTACCACAAACGTCAGAGAGGACCATGAACCCATCCAAGAGAGTGCGCATTCTGTAGAACCTCAAGCTGTTGCGCAATCAGAACCACCCGTCAAGCAAGAGGATTTCAAGGGCTCAAAGCCGTCCAAGGCTGTTGCCGGCGCGGTATCGACTCCCACATCAGGCACAGAGAACAGCGAGTCCATCAAGAAGACCATACGGCCTGCGAGCCGTCACAAGACTATGCAATCACAACCACCAGTTATTCAAGGGAGTCCCGAGGATTTGGTGTCGTCCAAGGTCGTTGCGGGCGCAGGAACGACCTCCACACCAGGTACAGAGAAGAGCGGTTCCACCAAAGAGACAGTACAGCTTGTGGATTCTCAGAATGTTGCGGAACAAGGAGTTCCGGCAGATAAGGGGGCATCCGGGGACTTTACACCATCTGAAGATGCTGCGGGTGCGGGATCGACTTCCACATCTGGCATAGAGAACAGCAGTCCGATCAAGGAGACGGTACTGCCTGCGGAGCCTCAAGATATCGCGCAATCGGAGCATCCGGCAGAGAAGAAGAAATCCAGGGACCTCGCGCCATGCGAAGACGCTGCTGATGCAAAATCAACTCCTGCGCCCAGCGCAAGGAACGAAGGCTCCACCACAGAGAGCGCACAAACTGTCGACCCTCACTCCTTTGCGCAAACAAAGATACCGATGGATGAGGAGGCTGCCGAAACTCGCCACAGGCGTAGGGCCAGCTCGCCGCCATCTGTGAGTTCTCACGCTCCTGCGCAATCGCTACTGCCGGTGGACGAAGAGGTCCCTGAACCTCACCATAGTCATAAGGATAGCTCGCCGCCACCTGCGAGTCCTCACGCTCCTGCGCAATCGCAACCGCCGGTAGACGAAGAGGAGCCCAAGGACTACAATGGCCATGAGGATCACACAGAATTACTTCAGGAAGATGATACACCAAGCCAGCCCTCAATCGTGGTCGACTCGGCCACGTCGCATGTGGAGCAGTGGCTTGCAAGTAAATATGCAGCTGCCTTCGCCGGGCTCACGCAAGCGGAAATAGACAATGCGCACTGGCGGCCTCAGCAGTCAACAACGATTTAGATGCAGGAACCGTGGAAGGCCTTTCGACGTTATTGAGACGAAAGAGTGGATAGTAAAGGGCGGTAACAGGGTAGTGGAGGAGCATGATGGAATTGTCGCGCCAATCTTTGACCGGTACTTCCGGCACGTGGCGCAGGTATGACAACGTCACATAGAGGGCTTAGAAGTATCGAATAGACGTCTCTACCCAAGCATACAATTTTCTAGACGTGCATCGTATATCGTATCGTCGTAGCGCCGGATCTAGTGTAACGGGAGGGCGATGCAGGGGTTTCAGGGTACGCGAAGTGGGTACCCGCATCTCGTTCCTGAGTGCACAGCCTCCGTCTCGTAGGGCTATCCGCGTATTCGTCTCGGAGTGGATCACTACATGGGTCTCTTGCGCTTTTGGGTGCAGCTTGCGATGGACGCAGTTGTATAAGGAGGAATGATGTCTGTGATGATGGATTTTACAAGCCACACATTCATTCCGTTCGTCTTCATCCTGTCGCTTTTCAACACATACTTCCAGTTCTTTTACATTCGTTTACGACAACTGCTCGTGTGCTGCGGAACAGCGTGCCCCTTCTCTCCCTGCGTCAACCTTCTTAGGCATCTTCAGCCATACTTTATCCCCGAAGCATCACAATGGCAGGCGACACATCAACGGACAAAGAGGCGTACGCTCTCTTTCCCTACGAGCCCAGCAAGATCGGCGCCATCCTCTTTGCCGTCCTCTTCGGCCTAAGCACAATCTACCACCTTTTCCAAATGATCCGAAGCCGCGCCTGGTTCTACACAGCTTTTGTAATCGGATCAATAAGTACGTCTCCCATTCCCTCCTCCATATCACAGCACATTGAACTAACAACTTCCACCTAGTGATGACAATCGGCTACGCAGCCCGCTACCTCTCCGCGCAATCCCCCTCCGAACTAATGCCCTACATTATGCAATCGCTCTTCATCATCCTCCCGCCCTCGCTCTACGCCGCAACAATCTACATGATCTACGGCCGCCTCGTCGTCTTCGTAAACGCCGAACACGCTTCCGTTATCCGACCCACGTTGGTAACCAAGATCTTCGTATGCGGCGACGTCGTTGCGTTTCTCATGCAGTCTGGTGGTGGCGGCATGATGGCGCAGGCAGACATGGCGGATATGGGACAGAAGATAATGCTGCTGGGGTTGTTTGTGCAGTTAGCGTTCTTCGGCTTCTTTGTCGTGGTTAGTGCCATATTCTATTTCAGGATGAGGAGTGCGCCTGAGAGGTACACGGTGCCGAAGTATGGGAAGTATGCGTGGCCGACTTTGGTAAGTTGCTTTCCCTTTATCTCTCCTCCCTCGTCGACGAACGATATACTAATGTTACGACAGTACAAACTCCTTGCCATCGCGGCCGTTGTAATCATCGCTCGCTGCATTTTCCGCGTCATCGAATTTGGACAGGGTCATAGCGGGTATCTGGCTTCGCATGAGGTGTACATGTACGTTTTTGATACGCTGCCCATGTTCCTGGTGCAGGTCTTGTTCCACTTTGTACGCGCGGATGACGTGTTTGGAACAAACCATCGGGCTGTGAAGAAGTTGGACAGCGAGATTATCGGACTGTACGAGAGGGCGTGAAGGGAATTCTGCTGTTTTTCTGTACTCTACGAGATGTTACGGGCGTTGGTATCGCGTTTGGGTTTGGCGTAACATCATTACGGCGTTCAGTTATTCTGCGGCCACGACAACCTTATGTATCTAGAACTCGCATT